TTGTCCGATTTTAAAAAGTTTCGGCCATTTGGTATGCTGTACCAGGACCAACAACTGTGCCAAGTTTGGAAGAAATTGTGTGCAGCGGTTACCAAGATATACACTAACCACGCCCACATCCCATATAACGGTAATTTAGAGAAATACAAAATCTTCGATAAATCAGTAAATATTGAAGCTAATTTATTCAAAATTGATGCTTGCAAAAATTCTTTACCAAGAAATACTTTTATGGTACAATTTTGGAAAATGGGCGGGGCACCGCCCACTTATGATCACATATATGTATATTGGTAACCGTTCTACCAATTTGTACCAAACTCGGTGTGGTTATTGTGCTTGCCACATGAAAGCAAAGCGTTGAAAATTATTGAAATCGGACTAAAATTACGGCCGCTTTTCATATAACGGTAAATTTCAGAAATGCTTGAAACTTCAATAATTCGAAATTTAAGGACGCTAATTTACTCAAAATTGATACACCCCGGCTTACCATCTAGCGGTAGGTTTCGGAAAGGTGAAGAAACATAAATTTAATACTTGCGCCGGGTATTTAATGTTCGGCTCCGCCCGAACTTGACTTTCTTACTTGTTACGCTTAGCTTTACTGCGCCAATATCAAGAGTTAACCTGCAGGATAGCTGAAAAGGTTTTTTTTTTGGTTTTTCTGTTCTGTTGATTTGACTGCTTACATTCAAACAGTTCTGTCACAACATAGTTTCAAATATTCGTCAAACTATCTCGCACACTTTATTTCAACCAAACCACGCATTCTGGTTAAATGGGATAAAAAAAAACATCTAAAATGCTACAAATCTTGAACTCTCTTAATATATTTTCAAACGCAGGTACAAAAAACATCTATTTATGTCTTGAAATTTCCAAAAAGAAAACATTTCGATGCGTATGCACATAAATGCAAATGAAAAATTGTGAAGAGACAAAAACGTTCTTTAAATGGTTCTACCATTATATACCGTTATACCGCTACCGTTATAGTTGCTATTCCGGCAATCTCTTCGACAGAATTCTTCATCGAGTTTACTGGAATTCATTTACAAACTGTCATAATTTTTCATAAGAAACGGCCTCAAGCTCAATAAGAACTGTTTAAAACAATATTAACAAAACAATTTTTAATCGAAATTTTGGTAACGCAACATCACGCAACGTCGCGCCAGATTCTTCGGACGATAAAAAAAAACAGTAAAGATTTTTACATTTAGAAATTTGGAAAATTAAGCCAAAATATTACTAACAAAAAATTTATAGAAAAAGTCTTGCCCAGTTTGCGGCGTTTTAAGATGTTGTAACCTAGGGTAAAACGCACTTTTCTTTCTTGCAATGTCACGCAAGCGCATATGATTGCTTTAAATCTCTAATATCAATTGTTGTAATTTTTTACTTAGCGGCTACTTAATTGTTATGGAAATAGAGAAAAACCCCTTTAAAATTTCGACTTTTTCGTTTTATTTCTTAGTAGTTCGTCACACAAATGTCACGTCACGTCAGATTGAAAATGCTCGCATTGAAAAGGGTACGACACTACATACCAAACATTTTTCTAAAAATTCTGACAAAGTTTGAAACATACATATATTACAATGGTTGACGAAAACATGAAAAACATCATGAATACTGTACAAAACATTGTACGGAAACTTTTTCTGGTAGGTGTGGGTACAATTACATATGGGTCATCACCAAATAGAATGTACATGGCAGGTATTTTTCTTTTAAGTCTGACAAACCTATCGTCTGAAATCTTTTACTTGCGTGAAAATCTGTGAAGATTACGAAATTGCTTTAAGTGCCGTCTGCAGCTCGCTAGAAAATCAGAAGAAATATTTTTCATTATTTCAGTAGCTATCAACGCGATTTTTTAGCCGCTTGAAAATTGAACTTTAAGAGACTAAAATACTATTACTGCTATAGAACTGCTTACACAAAAAGGTTGTAAAAATTCAGATTAAAAAGCTCGAAAATTTGATTAATTTTACTAAATTTAGTATGAAGTTTGAAACTCTGATTTATATAGTTTTGGCTAAAGCTTGGACAATATTTTTATAGAAGAATAACAAAAAAAATTACCTGAAAAACGTAGTGAATATTTAAAATAATCAACACGTTAAAACTTGTGTGAGTCACTGTAAGTACCTATAAATGCACTATAAGTTCTCTATTTTTCAATTAGACTCGACTAATTTACGTTGCTTTCAACTGGCTACTTTTACTTGATGTCGAAAAAAAGTCAGTTAGTTTCAGCTAACTACAAGACGGTTATTAATAAGTTCACTTGTAGTGTGCCAATTAATAGAATGTTTTTGGTACCTTCGTTTTTTATAATTATTTTAGGTTAACTATTACCTGCATGATAACTAAGATGTGCTATTAATATACATACATACATACGTATGTTACATACACACATACATACATATGTAGCATACATTCATATATATTTTTACATATATATTTTCCGCTATATTATTGTAAACAAAATAGCCTAAATCCATGCTTTCTCGCTTTCAATAAAAAACACTATGCCAATAAATGTACATACATATGTATGTATTGTTTTCAATTTTTTGTTCTTGAAAACAAGTTTTTTGTCGAAGGTGAAAATTGTGAAATAATTTTACATACATGCGTACGTACATATCCCCTCGATTGGGCCCTGCATGACTTTGAAAACAATTAAAAGTTAGCCGTAAAAAGTTGGCTATTTTAGTAGTCAACTAGGAAATTCCCGACAGGGTACTTTACACGATTTTCAAAAATCCGACTTCACGAAAATGTACATACTTACGGTGACCACA